CCCCCGTTCCCCCCGCCGAGGAGGACGCGCAGCCCTCACCTCACAGCCGCCCGCTCGGGGCCCTGAGGGCAGGAAGCCGCACGGCATCTCGGGACTTGTAGTTCCCCGTCCAGCGCGACATGGCGGCACCGCGGGTCCTGGCGACTCTCGGTGCTGCGCTCCTCCTTGCCGCTGGCGTCCAGGCCAGCAAGTACTCTCGGGAGGCCAACGAGGGGTTGGCGGCCGCTGGCGCCAAGCGGCGGGAGACCGGGGAGTTCCGGGTGGTGAGGCTGAACCAGGTCTGGGAGAAGGCGCAGCGGGTGAGTGAGGCGGCTCGGCAGGAGCGGGGACGATGGCGGCGCCCTGAGAGGGTGCTCTGGCAGAGCTCTGAGGGGGACCCAGGGTTGGGCTTGGCCGGTTCGGACACTCAGTCCCTGTCAGGCGCCTTAGGAGATGGGGTGCGGCGGGTGCAGCGTTTGTTGCGGGGAGCTTGTGTGTGAGGAGAAAGCGAGGCTGTCCGGCCCGGCGTCGCCGCGACAGGCCCCGGCTTGGTGTTGGGCCTCTGGGCTGCGGCGGGTTTTGTTTGGTTTTCAGGGCTGGCTACCCCTGAGGGGCAGCTCAGAGCAGGACCCACACAGCCCTGCTCCCTGGGGGCTACCCAACAGCGGTGCTGTGTAAGGTCTTCTCTCAGGAGGTACCTCCTTCCCCTCTCCTGCCATATGTATCTGGGACAGGAGAAGTGTTGATCTTTCCGTGTTTAAATTGAGCAGTTAAACCACATGCCCAAGCAGTGGAAGAGAGAGCGAAGTCCTCTGGTGCCATGAAGGTTCTGAGACTGGCTCTTGCACTCGCTGGTTGAATGCTGTAACCTTTTTGTTAAGGGGCATGATGCTCTCACCTGTCTGAAGGCAGTGGCCTTAGTTCCTGCTTTGCAGAAGAAAGGAGCTCACTGCACAGGAGTGTAAAAAACCCTCTATCTTGGTGGTTTTGACATCTTCATTTATACTAAGTGATGTAGTCACATGTGGGAGGATCAGCCAATGGGTATCACCATTTACAGATGAAAGCCTTAATTTTGACAGTGATACTTGAGTTTCTTTCACTCTGAGCTAAAATAATAGTTAATTAAAGTGAAAATGCAGTAAAAATATTTAATTACAGTGGAAGTATTTCATTACAGCTAAGCCGAACAGCTCCAACAGGAGGGCAGGAGCACATTGCACACCCATGTTAATCTCCTTAATATTGTGGAGCATGGATGTTGGGGTCATGACTGGTAAAGGTTCAGTTTTTTGGGGCAAAGAAATATAGTTAATATTAATTCTGCATTTCTTGTATCCTGGATAGACATTCCCCAGCCTGAGCTATTGAATTAGAGGCAGGACATCCCTGGATTTAGTCAAAAAATAGAATGCCTGCCATAATGCTGCCTCCCAGCGTGCTAAAAGAAGATATTAAAAACACTCCTTCCCTCAATGGGAGAAGGATGGGATGGGGGATAGGGCAGTGTGTGGTAATGAAACTCCAGCTGTGAACTTGACAGCTGAAGAAGAAACTACAGGGAGACTAGAAATAAACTATGATGATAGTATTGTCAGTTTCCTGTTATTTTTCCAATTACAGTCTTTTTTCATTGTCATATCTGGATCTACTGGAATTCAAATTTGAGATGCTTTATATCATCTGTTAAGATGCTAAAATGTAAAATGGAGTTAACTCTGTCGGAGTAAAGAACTAAGCTTTAGTAAATTCTATATGTGTAAGCCAGATTTCAGAGAGGCAACACCTACTTGAACTAAATTTGCCACCATCTAAATTTCACTTTTGAGTACAATTAACACCCAGCCTGTGTTTTAGAAAGTGATTTTTCAGAGTCTGGGCAAGGTCTGAAATAAGAGGAAAACTATGCCCATGTGTTAGACCTGCTTTGAACTATTTGTGTGCACCAATGCTGAACTCTCTTTCCTTCATTTTGGTAGTGGTAGAGATAGTACTGAAAAAAAGGAGCTCCTTTGTTTTAACATAAAAGATAGATGTTGCAATTCAGCATTGCAACACACAGAGCAGTCCTTCAGAAAGCCCCAAAATCTTACTTAGTGGGAACCAAGAACTGGCAAGCCAGAATTCCTTCTTGTTTCTCTGAGGGACGGAGGGTTTGATCTTTCTGCAGCATCTCTTTTCATAGGTATATGTTTCATATAAAAACTTTAAAAAGTGATTTTAATACAAGAGTTCTTCTTAGTCAGACATTAATTCTATAGTTACTTGAACCAATGGCAAATATTATGTAGGTTTCATGAGGTACGTGGTTTGGCCTGCTAGTCTCTTAACAATTCACTGTGCTGTGGTTGTTGCCATTGGTGTAATTCTAGCATCGCTTGTTACTGGGGCTTCCTCGCCATCCCAAAGTAGCAGTGGGCTCCAGAATCTAGGACGTGTTACACCTAAAAAATTTGTAGTAAAGAACCCTTTCCTGTGAGAAGCAGGGGTGTAGGTAATGATATTGCAGGTAATGATTGTAGCCAGGCGAGCAGCAAATGACTTAATTCTTGTAATGTTTCACAGATTTCCAGCGCTCATTCCCAGAATTGTCAGGTGCCTATCTTAGATGTTAATGTACAGGCAGTATAAGGAATGAGCATAAGGACCTTGGTGCTTTGTTATTTAATCATTAAACTTAGCTTTTCACCTCTACTTCTAGTTAGTTATTCCAACATATGCCTGATGTTAGTAAAGCGATGTGGAGCCTTACCTGTTGACATTTTTTACCTGGTGTCATTCAGAGTCCTACATGAGGTGATCTTGAAGGAAGCAGTTCTTGAACTATGTACTTTAAATTAGCCTATGTATTCACTTCTGTATTATGTAAATGGGACAGGCAAGGGACTTCCAACAGGTTTCAAAGGATTTGTAATGTTTAAAAGGACAGTTACTTGAGTTTCATATTAAATTATAATGAGAATCAGAAAAATATTATTGGAATTGGGAGAAACTTGAATAGAATCTTTCTTTTTTTCCCCTTAAGGAACAATGGATTTAAGGTAGTTCCTTAGTTTTTATTAAGAGTTTAAAATGTTTAATTGATGATGAGATGTCTCTGAACTTTTTAGAAGTTCTGATAGTCTTCTCTGCAACTTTCAGAAAACACAAAAGTATGTGTTTATGAGATTGCACTAACTGCAGAGAGTATCTAACATAAACTGCATTGTGTAGTCTTTTACACAATAGTGTGTCTCAGATGATAAAGCCATACATTTAAAAGATTGTATTTTCCTATTTTTGCAGTACTTAGGAGCTAAATTAGTTGTTGTCTTAAGTTATTGCTGGTGATTTTTTTCCTGGATTTGCTCATCCTAACTACATATTAAGTCCACGCTACTTGAATGCTGACATTAGAGTACAGAACTACTGAGATGATCAGTCATTTTCTTCAAAATTTATAGCAAGCTTTCCACTCAGTCTTCCTCCTGAAGCATCAAGGTGCAATTCTTGCTGAGCAAAACGTTGTTACTTGGTGCCACTGCAGCAATGACATTCTGGCTGTCCAGGTCATCCTGCCCCAGAAAAGCAAATAAGTACATGATTAAGGGTTTTTGACTTTAGCACATACTAAAAATCATAAATAAAGTGGTTCCTTCAAAGTGCTTAGCTTTTATTGAGAAGTTCCCCAAAAGTAGATGGTAAAGAAAACAATAGGGATGCTCCTTTGCTTTAGTATTAGAGAGATCAGAGCTTTTCATGTGTTCTATAAATTTTATATTTACCTATGATTCTAACTACTCTACATTTTAGTAAATTATTTCAGTAAGCCGAGTGCAAGATACAGGAAAAAAATTTAGTTTACAAATTAAAATAATTATATCCAGTAGCACAAGGCTAATTAATAGGACAGCCTAAGCTGAAACAATAATACGCATAGGTTCCTGAATTCCTGTCAATAAATTCAGTGAATTAGCTCAAAATAATGACATTTTTCCTAGTTACTTTCAGATAACCTGCTGACACTCAAATGAATGGCTGAATCTTTTCAGTATCATTCTGATGTTTAAAAATAATACTGAGGTCTGAGTCTGTGTTTATTAAACATACTGCTTCCTCACTGAAAATGAGAATTTTTATAACCTGTAATCTGATTTTACTGAAAAAAAAAACAACCAACAAACCTCCAGTAAATAAGCTTGTCCTAGGACAGGTGAGCCCAGGTGGTTCAGAGCTGGATCTGAGCTCCCAGGAGCTGGCTGCTCAGTGGTTGGAGGTAGGACTCAGGCAGAGCAGTATTGGAAGTCACACTGCTCATGTTTTTTGATCACTTCTCTGGGCTTTTCCTTACCTCAGCTTCTTGTTATTGACAAGCATGCACACACACACAAAAGAAGTGCTGAAGCATTAATATGATTTGTTACATTTCTTTCAAAGTGTCTAAAATCTAGAAGTTCAGAAGTTCAGGCTCAACTTACAGCAGTGCTGCTTAGCCAACTGTGTATTAGTCATTGTCTCTGTTCCTGTTTTCTCTGTATTCCACAAAATTTCAGGCTGACCTATCATTAATTTTAAAATTTAAACTTTTTTTTCATAGCTTCAGCCTCAGTATCTTATCTTTGTGTTACGTGGGACAGCAATTAGTCTAAGCTTTGTATGTTTTTAATGCACACAAACCATGTTAAGAAGTGATCTTGGAAAATTTTGCACTTGGATTGTAGTAAAAATTGCACATGAATTGACTCTTTGACCTGCAAGGCCATCCTCAGTGTCCTGGTAGTCTGCAAAACCATACTGACAAATAAAGCTTACCGACTCACTATAACAAGGTTAGAAGGTGGTCCAGAAGAAAGCACATGTGGTGGCAATGGCATGTTGTTTGAGAAATTTGGTTGTTGCTGCCTTTTGTAAATTAGTGAAACTGAATTGACTTAATAAATTTATTTTTTTTTACATTCTTTGTTACTGATATTGGACATTTTTAAGGTAGAATCGTTTTTAGAAGGCAGGCCCTTTAAAAGTGGGGGAAAAAATCCCATTTAAATATTACTTGAAGGAACACCAAAGACAGACACAAATTTTTAACCCTTACATAATTTTGCTGTTGTCCAAGTAGCTGAAGAGCTGAGAGAGAAGGCTGTGTGATCACTCTTAACACCAGTATGCTGAGGCATAGCCATGTTCATAGGCAAGAGATGTTATGTATGCAGTGTCTCATACCTTAAGGCCCTTAAATGCAGGTGGCTACATAGCATTAGAGTAAAAGAAAGAAATGCTGTGCTATACTAGCTACACATCTATACTGGCTTCTGAGGTAACACTGCAGCAAGAGGTGACTCCACATAACTGAATACAAACCTTTCTCTGTTCTTGTTAGCTTCATCTCTCTGCTGTGAAACTGGCAGAGTTGCACAGTGATCTAAAAATACAGGAAAAGGATGAGCTAAGCTGGAAAAAACTGAAGGCTGAAGGGCTTGATGAAGATGGAGAGAAAGAAGCCAAACTCAGACGCAACTTAAATGGTAAAGTATATCTTTGAATGAAGCCAAACTTAAACGTGACTTAAATGGTGAGGTATATCTTTGCGGAAGGAGTTAAACTTTGCATCGGACACATGCATGGTTAGACACCTGTGTTTGTGTTTAAGCCATTAATTAACAGGTTGTCTTTCCAGACACTGAGCACACGAGTTCTTTGGAGGTTAGTAGGGAGCTACAGGAGGCTAACAGATTCCTTTGCTCCTGATGTTTTTGGAAGAAGTCATTAAACCTGGGACCTCTGTGTCTTAAACTGTTAGCTTTTCCACTCTGAGCTGCAAAATCCAGCTCTGCAAGTCAAGGATGTAGCCAGTCTCTCATCTTTCACGCATCCATAGTTGGTTCTAATGTTTCTTTATCTTCTATTCCCTTGCAGTCATTATGACTAAATACGGAATGAATGGAAAGAAGGATTCTCAACTAGTTGATACCAACTACATTAAAGATGGTACAGAAAGTGATACACTAGATGATCCAAGACTGGAAAAATTATGGAGCAAGGTGAGTAAGGCTTCCAGGAACTGGAGTGTAGGAAATCAGTGTTTCTTCATTGAACTATTATCTGTGTCTTTTGAGAGCCCCCAGACTTGGAATTGAATAGCTTTACGATGCTGCTTTTTAGTACTGGCCAAGCTGCTGTGTTCTGTAGCTTACATCTTTGTGCCCTGAGGGCATCCCACCTGCATCCAGGTCACCAGGTGTGGCAGGTTCTCTTTGCCAAAGAAAACACCCACATCGTCTGCATGAGGGTAAGAGCCTGGATCCACCAGGGACAAACAGAGTTTTTCCTCAAATTTCACTGAACTCACGATTTCCCTTTGTGTGACTATTACACCGTGTGGTAGTATATTTATGGTGTTTTTCCTGTTTTCCTTATAGTTTCTGGGCTTTTTTAAAAAGATGAATTTAAAATAGAACCATTTCATAGGCTGTTTAAAAGTGAAATTTACAGTGGAGGGTGTTAAATAAGGACTTTCCCAATGTGGTAATCAAGTGAAAATTTCCAGGATTTGCATTAATGCATAAAAAATAGAAAGTGTACTGTCAGGCTGGGCAGTTAAAACCAGTGATGTCATAATCTTCAAAAATTAAATAATTGAAGTTTCAAGAAACAAGTAGTCAAGTAAAGCAAAGAATTCTTACACCAGTCTAGTGCAGTGGTAGTAAAGCAGAGAGAAATATTTGCTGTGTTCTAAAACGTTACTGTAATTAGCTATGGCTCTGGCAAGGAGCATGATGTCATATGCTTTGTGGAACAGTAAAGGGCATTAGACAGAAATATTCCCTAAGCAAAAAAAGGATTGGGGATGAATAGCTATCAAAACCACTCACTTTTGGTCACGCATTGCAGCAATTAAGTCACCAGATTTGTGGGTGCTGCTCCAGCTGTCTAACCAGTGCTTCCCTGATTGCTAAAAAGTCATCCAGTGAGGAACAAATCACTGTAGAGCAAATGCACGGTAGTGATAAAATCTTCACTTGCCAGTAGAGTAAGATTAAGTAAAGACTGTGCTTAATATCAGGCTTCATCCCTCATGCAAACAGTCCACTTACAATTGCATGTGGAGCTCCATGGCCCTTATTTCTGTATTAAATTATTTCCCATGGACTAGAAATGACAGACGCTTCTCACGGGGTACTCCATAGCAAGTCTAGCTTTATAAGTTTGAAGCAAACTTCCATTTGACATGATTAAAGCCACCATATCCGTCGATGTCTAAATCCTGACCTCATACTAATATAAGGGATATAAAACAAAAGATCTTAAGGAAAAGCTGGACTTAATAATTTTCTAAATGTAGTGGGAAGCGGGAGGAAGTTTTGGCAGTTGAGTGCACTTAAAAGCACTTGGCCTGCAAAGCATAATGAGCTCGTTTCTTCCAGGCCAAGACCTCTGGGAAGTTTTCTGATGAGGAGTTGGATAAGCTTTGGCGAGAATTTAAGCATCACAAAGAAAAAATTCATGAATACAATATTCTGCTGGAGACCGTAAGCAGAACAGAAGGTGCCTGAATATTTCTCTGATGTTTCGAGATCAGTACAACTCTTTTCTCTGCCCATTGCCTCCATTGTTTCCAAGTTTCTTTGAAACTCCTGAAGTCTGACATTTCTGTCAGAACTGCTTGCAGATGCTGACATTTCCAGATACTGGCTGGGTTTAATTCTGCATTAGCTGCCAAAATTTGCCAGCTAATGAAAATGTTGCCATTTCACTTTTCTGATTCTACCTGTGCTTCAAGCAGAGAAGATACCATCAGATTAGCAATGATGGCCATAGTACTTTACTGCAAATTACACAGCAAGCATAGATCCACTGCTGCAAAATGTGGTTCTGAAGTCTGCAGAACATGCATGTTTTATCTCACCAGCTGGGAGCCCAAGAGGATATACTTGAATATCTTAGGCACTGAGCCTGAGATGTATTAAAGCATCGAGGATCTGAATCCAGCTTGCTGTAGTAATCTTATCTAAAATTGTTAGAGCCAAAGTATTCTAAAGCTTATAGGCAGTTTGGTGTTTACATTGTAGAGCCAAAGCTGGAAGCTGCTGGAAGTCATTTCAACATCAGATGTCCTGATTGGTTTATGAAATGCCCAGGGAAGAGGGCACAGGACTCATCAACCATGCCTATCCCATCTTCTTGGGATATTGCTAACCAAGGAAAATAAGAATATTTCCTTACTAAAATCTTGGCTGGTGGCCAGTAGGAGTTAAAAGGAGTTTCTGTAGTATCACCCTCCAGAGCACTGAGGGGAGTTGAGCTTAAGATTGACCTGTGAAAGGAATTACTGCTTCTTAAAGTGTAGTGTTAATGCTTTATTTACACTCAGTTCAAATACTCAGAACTTAGCATCTTTTATTCACCACAGATTTGGGGGATTTCTGGAGCTTTTGACCTATCAGGATTTGGCCCACAATCAATAATGCTTTACTTCTTCAACAGATATCCACAAAAATGTTATCAACCCATCTGAAGAGAACCTGGTGAAAGAGGAAATCTTGCACAACAAACACAGAGAACTCAAAGACAAGCTGAGAAGTATCAATCAGGGGTTTGAGCGTTTGCGTAAAGTCAGTCACCAGGGATATGACACAACCAGCGGTATGATACAGTGGGTTTTATGCTGATTTGGGATTAATTTAATTTTTAAACAATTAAAAATCACTGAGCAAGTAATAAGATGTAGTTACAGTATCACAGTACATGGTGTGACCACAGTGGGCTGAAGAGGTAGCCAGCCTGTTGTATTTAGAAGCCAACACTAGAAGCTAATGAAAGGATAGGGACAACCTGTAAAGAGAGTAGTTCTGTCTTCCATACCCACATGAGAAGAGATATTATGCCTTCAGCCCCAGGAGGGCAGGTAAGTGAGGTAACACGCAGGGCAGGCAATGCCATTATTCAGTTCCTAGGGGTTTTTTTGCATTTTAAAAAAATACTTGCCACAGTAATACGATAGTTTTAAGTTAAGTACTTGGATTTTTCTCCCTTTTCGTCTAAATAGACCTGTTAGTAAGGCAGCGCTTAATATATCTGTGTGTATGTATGTGAGAAAGCATGCTCCTCTTTCATAGAAGCTGGGCATAAAAGGATTGTGTCCAGATTTTCATTTAGTGGTATGTGTTTGTTTAGAATTTGAAGAACCAAGAGTGATTGATTTGTGGGACCTGGCGAAATCAGCCAATTTCACTGAGAAGGAACTTGAATCTTTTCGGGTAAGTAGAATTCCAGGTAGATCCCTTATGGAAAAGATATTTTCCCACATAAACAGTCGATGTTACTCTGAGTGCAGCCACTTCTATATTGCTCTTCAGACACCATGAGACACCAGACACCTTCAGAGTCATGATTCTTTCTTAATATTTCAAATATATAAACATGTATGTAACTGGTCATATGCATGCTTCTGTTATAATCAGCGATATGAAAATTCTGAATCCTGTCAGAGCAAGTGTTGCATATTTTAAATCTCTGAAAGTTCAGGCTCTGCTTGTTTGGTTCCAGTGTGCCAGTTTTCCCTCTCTTACTCAATGTTGTAATGTAATTACTTCTTTGGGAAGCATCGTACTCTCTATACCCAACAGTCTCCCTCTTGGGCCCACCACTTGCACTGCTAACTTCCTGTGTTGGAGCTGTGTTGAACTGACCCAAAAGTACCACAATAAAGACTGCTTTTCAAGGAAGTATTATAGAAATTAATTCCTGTGGGGTTCGTACTGGTTTTATTTAATTCAAATTGCATTGAGAAAATGTTTGAGTTTTTTGTTTCATCTGACTCTGCCTGTTTATCAGAATAGATTTTGTTTGATAGCCTGGAGAAGTAACTCTTCAGGGCTTCTTCGTGGAGTTGTATGTACTTACGATGTTGTCTCACCCTCCAAGACATGGCTAGGGACACTTTGAACTTCTTTTCCTGATAAGGTAATGAGAGAGTTTTAACTGCCTGGGACAGGGGTTGAAATCTGTTTCTCTTAGATATCAAAGATCCATCTTCTTTCTTTTAACTCACATGCAACTCGATTCTGTTACGAAGCAAACGTTTTAATTACACTGATTTCAGTGGTCCTGCTTTTAAGAGTGTCAGAGGAAAGCCTGCTGAAGTCTGCAACAAGGCTTCTGCCCACCTTAGTGGGACATTTTGTACAATGGACCGTACAATTGCATGAGAGGTAAATTTGGCCTTCATTTCTGCCACAGTGAAAAATTAAAACCCAATTCCATAAGCAGGAACATATATCTGCTTATTAATTTTACTGTTTTAGTAGAGATTTTCATTCATGTAACCCTCTTCACCAGACCAAACCTGTCTTGTTACTGTGAATGTTGGGACACCCTAACAAAAGAAAGACAGTAAGAATCACAGTGAAACACCTGCCTATTTAAAAGTCCCTGAAAGCAGAATTAAAGAAATCATAGGCTGATTCCATTCAGCCTTGTTTGAGCAGCTGAAGTTGTGTCTTCTGACTGGCCACAGTACCAGCCTTCGTAGGGTTTCATAAAGAAAGATGCAAGTGCTGCTCTGCTGGTACATCATCTGAGACGAGCAGCTAAAATGATGTATCAGAAGACCCCAAACTGAGGTCCTGAACAGCACGTATAAAACAGACTGGAATGTTCTACAGCAAAAGAAAACTATTTTCTTGTCAGAAATGTTGAAAACAAAACCCCTTTGCTTTATGAACCGAAGAAGATCTATTGGGATGATGGATTTTTATCTATTTTTAAATTGTCTTGAAATGAGAGGAATTTTGTCAGCCACCAGGACTGAAACACACCAGTGACCAAAATTAAGTGGGCTCTGTCAAACAGGGGGATTTCACTGTAGGGTTTGTCTGAGTTTTTCTGGATGTAATGCATAGAACTGCTGACATAAGTGGCATAACAGTTTGAACTGTTCATATCCTCTTCACAGAGGACGTGTCCTAAGACACAGAAACTGAATCTACTGCCTTGAAGTAGCAAAACAAGAGCATGCTTTGGTGGGTAGAGGCATTACTCAGTCTTTAGTCCTCCTTGCAGTGTACCAGGTTATCTGAGGACCATCTCTGATGTGTCCCTGAACACCACAGTTAGTCTGGCCACTGTCTTTGGGGCAAACTAAGAGGGCTTTTTGTTCATTAATTAATTCATTCGATTTCAGATTCATCATAGCAAACTGCAAACCCAGAAAGCATTCAGCTCTGAGCAGAAAATAGCAGATTGTCTGTCTCCCTCCTCCCAGTCTACTATTCTTATGTATAAACTTTTCCTTGGTATTCACTGCTATCATCTCCTAGCACCTCACAGCCATCAGCAGTCCCCTTTTCAGGACTCTGCAGTGGGTCATTTTCAGCACCTGCCTTCAAAATTAGGTGCCTAGGTGGTGATGATAACATATTGTCCAGACATTCTTAAGAAGCAGGGAACAGAAAAAGCTTTCTGTGCTTGACTTAATAACATGGCATTAGGGATGTCTTGGCAAGAAAAGAGAGAGGAAGCCTTGGAAAGAAAGTCCTGTGAAGCTGTGTGTGTTTGTTGTCTTAGGAGGAGCTGAAACACTTCGAAGCAAAAATTGAAAAACACCATCATTATCAGAAACAATTAGAGATTTCACACCAGAAACTGAAGCATGTAGAGGGAACTGGAGATAAGGATCATCTGATCAGAAACAAGGAGAAATATGCCATGCTGGAAGAAAAGACAAAAGAACTAGGATATAAGGTCTGTATAAGTCCAGCGTACATTCACGTTCAAAGTTTAACTCTGTAGTAGAGGTTATGTAGATTATCCAGCGCTGATTTTTTGTGCAAGTTGAATGACTTCCAGAGGGGGAGTTTAAGGCACACTTGTGCTCTATGTTTAGTGCAGGATATGCATAATTGTTTTTTATAGACTTAATTCTAAAATGCCTGAAATCTCCCTGGTCTCTGCTCTTCCTGTTGTCACATATACTTATAGCAGAATCTGAATACGATATTGATAATTCATTGTCTTACTAAAATTTGTTTCGCCTGTTTTGTTTTCCTGATAGGTAAAGAAGCACTTGCAAGACTTATCCAGCAGAATCTCTCAAGGTCTTCAACACAATGAATTATAAAAATTTGTTCTTCTTCATGGGATCAATCTGTTTTAACACGAAACAGATAATGTGGTTTTTGAACAGGATTTGCCAAGTAGTCCTTCTGAAATAGTAAGGATTGAACAGAGTTGTCCTGTAAGAAACTTTTTTTTGGTCCACTTAATTGCCAGTTTTGTACTTGCACTATTAAATGATTAGATTATAAATTTAAGTTGTACATCTTGGATCATATTAATCTTACATCTGAAGCAAGAAACAGCCTTTGAAATAAGCAGTACTGTCAAAAGGAAAAATATGTGAACTCTCAGAGGATTCCTGCTAGTTTAAAAAAAGACACTAATCTAATAAGTCAGGAAAGGTATTCTGATCAATGAAAGCAAACACTGAGGTACAAGACATTAAAACAGGCCAGAAGAGTCTTTTATTTAAATGCCTGACCTATTACATTTCCTACTGAAGGTAATGTAAATATTGCTACTGACTTTGAGCAGTGGCTCAGAGCTGCACTGTATTTGAATCTTTCATATGAGCGAGGGAGGAGGAATAAGGAGGGAACAAGTATTGAGGTCAGTTCACACAGTGTAGTTATAGACTAACACATCTGAAGTTACTGAATGTGTATGTACAATTACCTTGTTCATGGTTGCTTGGTTTTGTTACACTTAGTCATTAAAAAATCAAAACAAGATACTGGTGAGCCTTTCTTTTTCTTCCTTCTCATTTAGTGAGAAGTAAGCAGACCTGTTTTTTGAGCATGTTGCTCATTCCTTTAAACTAAAGTTCACTCACACGTTAGTTTTCAAGACAGGAGGGGTAGTTTTGCACCACAAGAATGTGTTTCTGTGTTCTGAATAGGCAGAAGGCTCTCTAAAGCAGCTTCTCTCTGAGCACATATTCCAATACAATCTCCAGGACAGATTATTACCGCTTTCCCTTTCAAGACCAGATTTTTCTGTTGTCTGTCAGAACTTTGCCAAACATTAGCCATCTGGGTTGAAATTTACTGTAATCATAGTGCTGACCCATTATTTCTGTTTCATGTGAAACTGTTCCAGGAACCAAGGCAAAGGTCCAGTGTAAGTAAATCATTACAGCTGCTTGGTCAAGATTGCAGCGCTGTGGTGTGCTGCATGAGGAAGCTGTCCTCGAGCCTCACTTGCCATGCCCATTCTGTGAGAAATACTGAAGAGATCCATTCAGTCAGAATCGCCCACTCTGTACAATATTTATCCAGTTCCTGCATCCATGGTGGGTTAAAAGTAGTATGATTCTGTACGTAAAGACTATTTCAGAATGTGCAAGTGATCTGAACCAAAACTGTGGTAGCAGTCTTACTTTGAGATTCTGACTATCTTACTTTGAAGCAGTAAGCTTTTCTTTTTTTCTTACTTTTTTATTTTAATGTAAGTTAACATTTATATTCTAGAGAATCAGTGTCCATCACAAGAAACATAGGCTACCATTAACATTAGTCACCTTAGAGATGGTTCAGTTCATGTACTTTATGGTGTACATCTCCTTTGGTTGGTAATCTAAAAAAAGTAAACCCAAAAATAGCTAAATCCCATTTATGAGAAAAGTAGTTTGTTCTTGGTACACACCATTTCTTCCCCAGACTATCACTTTAATGGCTGTTCAGCCTTCTTTAAAACAGCAGTAGCTGCATTGTCTTACAAATTTATCTTCATCATTATTTTTTTCAGTTTTTCTAGGTGAATGCAGAATAGAAACGTATTCTATACTATGTGTGGAAGGTGCGGACTTCAATATGTCCATCAATTTTCCCTTTGGTAGAGTAAGAAATAAATTCATGTACCACAGGTCAGTTTGGTGGCTGTAGCATGGATGTGGAGAGGCCCACACCACTGGCTCCTGGGTGAAGAATTTGAACACATGCCCTAAATACACCAGCAGAGGAAAGGAACTAAGCACAGCACTGAGCCGTTCTCATAGCTGGGTTGTACAAGAATGGAAAAGCTTTAACCGAGCATTTTCAGATACTGCTGCTGGGGGAAATCTCTTGCACAAGGGAAAGCAACGTGAGTATCTCCGCCTACAATAAAGGCAGGCAGAGTAGCTGTATGCTCCGCACAAGAAGGCATAGAAGAAAGCTGGTTTTCATCTTCAGTGTGTACCTGAAAGAGAATATACTTATTGAAGAATTTCTGACTAGCACAGGGTGCTGGATTCACAGAACACATAACCAGGGTCAGATCAGCAGTAGTAACGGTGCTCTCCAAGTGCAGAGCTGCTTCAGCACAGGCAGTAAACAGAGGTGATAGCTGTGCCATGTGGTGGTGGCTGTACCGTGTCTTTACCCACCATGCCATGACCGTCATCGGGCTCAAAAGCCAGGTAGGCTGCAGCAGAGAGAACGCTTGGCAAGCACTTCAAAGTACAGGAGACTGACAAAATATTTACGTCACAGTAATTTAAAATTAGGAACAAGTCACAGATCATCAATGGCAAAGTTTGGAGACCAGGGGTCAGCACAGTCACCTCACTTTAGTTATTTAACATAGCTGTTAATGAGTCATTGGGCCCAAAGATTGTTCACACAGACCTAGAGGAGGAAAAAAATACTAAACAGCAGTGGCTGCTGCCCCTGAATCCAACTCCCCCCCTGAAATAGTCTGTAGCTGAGTGAGTTAGTCTGCAACAGCACAGAGAAGACATTAGGAATAGTCCCTGTTCCTGTCAAGGATCTTTGGGGCTTTCCCTGTTTTTTTGAGATCTGAGGACAGTGCGCAGGTTAGTGAGGTGTAAAGTCTGATTTCCCTCTTGTTTCTATAGTCTGCACCTCACATACATCAATATATGTACAAATCAGTTAATTATGGCAGTTTTTAAGGCTCCAATGACAATTCATACGGCCAAAATAACAAGAGTGGGTAGTCTTTGAGACAAGAATGATTAAAAAAAATAGCTTGAATCACCACTCTTGTGTTTCTGTAAATAGCAACAAAAATTCAAAGCCCAGAAAAAAGGTGTAAATGAAATACGCCTACAGTCCTGTACCTAGTGAAAGGTGAATAATGGAGTTCATGGGTGAGACTGCATAGAAGAGACATCTGAATAGGAAAGAACTAACAGCTTTTAAACAGTGGCTGAACCTTCTCCTCTTCCTTAATTGGTATTTTATCTGATCATTTTGTAATCATTCAAATTACAAAGTTTTTCCAAACCACTTTGAGAAACAATTTGAAATACAAAAGCGGGAGCAGAAGAAGGAGGAAAGAACTGCATTTCTTAAGGGAAAAAAAAAAAAAAAACAAACACACACAAAAAACCTTTTATGTTTTATATGGTCTGTAAAATTCTGCCCTGAAAAAGAACCTCAGTTTAAGTTAACATATCAGTGATTTCACATAGGACAGATTTTATTTATTAAACAGGTTAGGGGGGCTGGAAATGAGAGGGAAGTAAATACACAAGGCATTAAATAGAACAAAAATAACCAAGTCTTTCTTAAAATAAACACAATGTCCTACATGCTGGTAGAGGAGCTAAAAGCACATCATTCTACCAAGACAAATAAGGACCAGCCACTACGGCAGACGTATTGCTGTAACGATTTGCCCTCCACTCCCAAGGGATTCTGATGCCTAATAGATCAGGCAATAGCCAGCGTATTTAAAATCACCAAGTAGAGATCATTTACGCCTTGTAAGCGGAGGTGCCATCTGACTTCCCAGCCCCACCTCCCAGTAGTGACCCAGTTCCTGCAGGTACGGTTCTCACTGCTCAGGAGCTGATGGAAGGGGGAGCCTTGGCAGGGCTCTCCTCCTCCTTGCTATGTGTCAGGCTCCCTCTAGCCAGGATAATATGGCTTTTGTACAGAAAGTGACACAAAGCAAGACACAAAGAAACCAGCTTAGCTTCCAGGATGCATCTGATCTTGGCTGAGCATTTAGATGGGCTTCAGCAGGGCCCCAGGCCCTGAATGGGGAGCAGAGGGCAGCTCCCAAGCTCCCAGCTCAGGAACACGAAGCAGACCTGTGTGTACGCTGCCCACAGCCCAGCACACAGGATCTGCAGGTCGCGCAGGCATCACGCCCTGCTGACTGTACAGGGAGCTGGCAGGGGCTGTAATTCATCTTATTGTCAGTACTGCCATTTATTCAATACATGTGTTTAGGCGAATTAGTGCCATTAGTTACGCTCCATGAAAGAATGTCAGTCCCCAGCCAGGATCCAGTGTGCCACAGCACCCAGAAACTGGAGCGTTGCACTGGGAGCCAGGCTGCTGAGAACGCTTCTGCAGGCCCTAACCCAGGACCTGACAAAAGCTCCAGAACAGTGTTCAGCTCAGGACTAACCCAGACAGAGGTGACACACAGTTCATATGCTTGGTTCACACCACGTTCATCAGCCACAACCTTCCCCGTCATCATTTGGCACTGCTTCAGAGAGGTATTTGAGTTTTGGGTGGGTTGGTTTAAAAAGATCCTATTTCACATACAAAAATCTACCAGTAAGTAGTACAGAGGCAGTTCTAAAATAATTTTAAAATACATTTTTCTTTCCGTAGCATTTAATGAGAATAGAAGAAATAAATAAAAAAGTCATGAAATAAAAGTCAATAAATAGAATAGACTGTTGCTTTTAGTACAAAGAGCCCTACCCTTGTAACAGATCAGGGAGCTATGAAAGACAAAGACCGCATTTTTCTGTATACATTATGTTATCTAACAAACGGCTTCTAAATACCAGAATCAGCATTTCCAAATACAACACACGGTTAGCATGTACTTCAGGCCATTCACATAGCACCCATTGGGAAGCTGCTTGTTAATCTACAGAAAAAAAGACTGTATGGATTTCTTTTACTAGTATCCACAGCCATAAAATGGAAGCATTCATAAAATCTGCCCGGTTGAGCCAAAATAAATCTATAAACTTTCATCCACAGTAAATATTTCAAGTTGAGCCATATTTGGTACAGCAACGATTGTAACCCAAATGCTTTTATCAATAGCCCTTAATGGACTTTCATATCCAAATCTTCAAGTATATTATCCCAGCACTCAACAAAAGAGCACTCTCCTAAATCAAAAAGAAAACAGGACACAGATATTAATGCTTAACATGTGAATGTAAAAACAATGGATACATTAATATAACATATACATATTTTGTTCCTTCACTGATGTGTTAACTTACCAGAAAGCTGCATGCATCCATTTTAATAAAACTAATCATTTTCAGTCTCAAAGGTTGCCTGTCAATAACTGCTCTACTGTAACTTAAACCTGGTGATTTCTATAGG